AAAAAGAGATACTAAATCGATCAACAATATTATTCTTTCTCACTTGGTCGATAGTGAACATCATATCAAAATAAAGGAAGCTTCCTCTGTTTTATACCTCAAGGAGCTAGATTACAGCTATTCTACACAAATGAAACTATTTGGATCAACTCTAGAAAATTAAACTGGTGTATTCAGATGAGATATATCCAGACTTTATGTTTACCTTGACCTACGACTGAATAACCTATTACCTAAACTGAATATTATAAACTTTTCATCCCCCCACCTTTCAATTCCTTTCGTGTTTATATATCTTTCTTCATCTTTACATCCATCTTTCCTAATACATATGAATCCTTTTTTTTCTTCTAATTATTGTTATTACCTTGATAATACCCATCTTATTACATATTATATTCAGTATTAGTATTACAATTGTTATTATCTTTATTACCTCAATAAACAAGATGAACTTCGCACAATCTCCTTTTCCTCATTCATTACTATTATTTCATTTCATTAAGAAGAGTTTTTTTTACTTCTATTTGTTGATTACATAGAAGCATATGCATTCAATCTCTCTCGTTCTCCCTCCCTCCCTCTCTCTCTCTCTTCTTCCCCTTTTCTATCCACAATCATTGTCTTCTTTATTCATGAATGAATGAATTATCTTAGTTCATCTGTAATGTTGAGTTACCTTTTTTTTGTTTTGTTTTATTTTGTTATAAAGAACAATAGATCAATGGTGATCACGCATTTACACTTGTTTCTATTATATATTTAATAATAATAATGATCATAATCATAACAATCAGGGATAACACAAAACCTTTAAACACTTTTCTTTCATGAATATAGTTGAATGGAGACAGTAAAGATAAACTGATGATGATTTGGATGTTGATTTGGACGATGACGATGATGATGACCACAAAAGTTGTTTGTTTATCTTCCCATTTATGAGGTTATTTTTCTTTCTTTCATTTTTTAAAGAAATTAATCATCAACTTGAGAATATATAGGATATGTGTCATAAAGTACCTTGATAATATAAAATCTATATATATGAGAGAGCTAATGAATGGGAGAAATGAGAATACAATATACCTCCATTAATACATATATATATATATATATATATATATATATAAAACTGTCAGCTATCATGGCGCCAATTCATATGAAATAGCAATTAGAATGAGTTATTTCTTCCCCCCGTCCTTACACACACTCACACACACACACACACAAAGATGTATATATATTATCTTGCTCCTCGGATTGTTCTCTTTACAAATTATTCCTAACTCATTCATTGAGTTTGATGTACTACTTGAATACTTCATTTCGTAGAAGGTGAAATATCCTATTAGAAAGGAAGTGTATATCATTCATGGTTCAAATTATTACTGTACAATTCATTCATTTTCTCTTCTTTTTTTTGATGAGTACACAATATCCATTTAGTATAGTAATGAATGATGTGATTATCAGTTGGTTTTTATTCTTTATTAACCTACAGATATCAAAGTGTACGTGTATGTATTTAGGTGTGTGTGTGTGCGTAAATCTGGGTTTTATAATGATGCATGGAAATTGTAATTTATGTATTTAAAATGTCGCCAAGTATTTTAATGAATAGTCCATTAAATAAATTGATTGTATTATGAGTCATAAAAGTATCTTATTGTTCTCTTTTATATAGAACTCTTTTCATGAGGATACGGAATAGTTTTATTTTTAAAGTGTATAAACGTCATTCAATTCAAATGTCAAGACAGTTCTACTGTATGAGGTGAAAACCTGGAGAACTACAAAAGCCATCATCCGGAAGATACAGGTGTTTATTAACAGTTGTCTATGCAAAATACTTCGGATTCGTTGGATAGACACTATCAGTAACAACCAACTGTTGGAGAGAACAAACCAGATCCCAGCGGAGGAAGAAATCAGGAAGAAGCACCAGAAGTGGATGGCACACACATTGAAGAAAGCACTTAACTACGTCACAACGCGAGTCCCCGTATGGACTCCTCAAGACCAAAGGAGGAGAGGGAGACTAAAACACGCATGAAGTCGGGAAATGGAGATAGACATGAAAAAAAGTAACAAGAATTGGATGGAACTAGAAAAGAACGCCCAGGACAGAGTGGGTTGGAGAATGCTCGTCGGCGGCCTATGCTCCTTTAGGAGTAACAGGCGTAAGTAAGTAAGTAAACATCATTTTATACTACTACCACTGTAGTGGACACGAACACCATCAATTGTCTCATAATGACTCAGACTTCATTGTTCCTGCATTTTCATACAAATTGCACTCTGTTTCCATTCTTTACTGTTCGATCCTCTTGTCTCTCTGCTTCCACGACTAACATCATATACTACTTATGTGAATATAATTAGCACACACCACACAACAACAACAACTACTACTACTCACATTCCTGGTACTCTATTGAATATATGTTGGATAAAAAAATGGTTGTAGCAACTAAACTATTAGCGACCTTCCATGATTGAAGGTAAATAATGGTTCAGTTACTCAGTCAGTCAGTCATCTACAACGTAGGATCAGGCACATATATGCAATAGTCCGAGTTGCTATGGATTGCTAGTACAAAAAGATGAATACCAAATTCATAGAAGTAGTTACTTCAATGGTAGAAAGATTTCATATAAGGATATAATACAGGGAGAACGAATTAGTATAAAACAATTTTAACCTTATCGTTTAAGAGAAGACAAAAAATTTATACACAGATGTCATTGTAATCGATTCTGAGCCATGTTATCTAGGATCTCGAACCATTTGTCACAATAAGAAACATACAACTACTTTTATTATTATTCATATTGATCAAAATTTCGTACTAGAGACCCAAAAATTCTTCAATATGAACATATTGAAATGAATGAAGTGCTCCACTGTTACTTGATCTTAGTATAGGACTGCTGAGGTTACCAAGAATTAAATATGAATTCTTCATATTTAGCAGAACAACTTAGAAGAATACATTCCAATAACCTACTTTATCAACTTAAGACAACTAAATGACTATCACTAAACCTACATATAATATCCATCTTGAGGTTTCTGGTTTCCAATAAAGATCTACTGGAGGACAAATAATTCCCTATTTTTAAAAAAAGCATTGTTTTAATGATAAACGCATACTCCATGGTAACTGACTTTGTGAAAAATTCTTAGGATACTAATGAAAACCAATACTTAATAGAGTTTAATCACATTCCAAATGAGCATTGATTTATTGTACACGTTTCTCTACTTTTTTAAAATAATGAGTGGACGCGGTAAAGATGGCAAAGTTCACAGTAAGGCTAAGATAAAGTCAGTGCATGCGGGTCTTCAGTACCATGTTGGTCATATACACCGTCTTTTACATCAAAGCAATTATGCTGAGTGAGTTGGCGCTGGTTCTCCAGTTTATTTAGCTCGAATACCTGACTGCAGACGTTTTGGAGTTAGCTGGTAATGCCGCTCGTGATATTTACATTTACAGTTAGTCATCCGCAACGATGAAGAAGTGAACAAGCTTCTTGACAGAGTTAAAATTGCACAGGATGGTGTGCCCCTGAATGCTCTGGTACGGCCAAGGGTAGCGAGAGTTAGCTCTCCCTCTCCAAATGCTTTCACATGGCCACTCGTATACCATCAGCGCCAGGGAAGTCCTACTCATTGCATTCTCATGGCGGGGGTATTGTTAACGAATTTGAGAAGAAGAAAAGTGAATGCCCGATACTTTAACCAGATTGCTGGACACAGAGTGTCCACCAAGGAGAGTTGAAAAACCCTGTTTCTAAATCACTGGTGCACATGGACTCTACGATCCTGAAGGGAAAAATGGCGTATGAACCAATCGTTGGCCACTGGCTACCATAGGACTGCATCTCATTACATCGCTCCATTACCTTGTGGATTAGACTTTTAGGTCAAAGGCTCAGGGTGTTACTCCTTAAGAAAACCACCTACTTCGGCACCTGGGCAGTATCATAGCCCATGCACACAAATTAAGTGACTTGTTTAGCGCTTACGTATACTGTCGCCATTCTCTTTGTATAATATATAGACTATAATATATTATTGATAATTTTTCCTCTAGTTTTTTCTTTTCTTTTCAAAATCTATAATTTCGTGGACTAGTTGAAGTTAAACATCACTAACACCATTGGATGCCGGCCAGCTCAACGGTCTAAAGGTCTATAAGTCCTATATTCGAATTTCATGAGTGTTTCCAGATTTTCTATGACGGGCTTATGATCTCAACTATTCAAATTACTAAAACCTCTTCTTATATTAATCAACATATCCTCACTAGTGACTGGCTTCAAGAAGTATTTCCTGGATTTTTAATGAGAAGCAGTGTACCAGTAGAGTTCAGTCGGGTCTGTTATGAGATAGTAACTCACTGGTAGCACTAGAGGATATGTCACTCAATTTCGTAGATTAGTTGATATTAGACGTTAACACGGTTGAATACCGGCCGGCTCAGCTGTCTAGAGGTTAAGCGTTCGCGCACGAGACTGACAGATCCTGTGTTCCAATCTTGTAAGGCGGAATCGTGGATGCGCAACAGCCACTGAGGAATCCCACAATAGGTAAAAAACAACCGTCCAATACTTTCAGATTTTTCATAATAGTCTAGTTTTCTTTCTTTTTGTTTTTTTTCTTTCTTCTTTTTACAATTTTTTCCATCCAATTTCAATTTTCACACGGAACTTACTTGATTGAATAAAACGAGACAGATTTATATCAGTCTGTAAACAATACGGAATTCATTGTATAATTCAGTCTTAAATAGTATGTTTATTCATGTTTATATGGATATGTGGATGTATATATATTAAGCTTAAGTGAACAATAGTCATGACATACAATTGTTTACATATATACCTGTTACTACTGATTCAAATATACTACTTATTATGGTGTATAAGAAAAATGATTATTATTTGATAGACATAATGTCTAGACAGAATATTTTAAGAAATTCAATAAAATGGAATGTAATATATTTACCTTCTTTGATGGATATGAATCAGCTTCATTTCAAGTTAGTGTTGTCGTTGTGGTTGCTGTTGTTGGTCTTCTTCTTCTTTTAAAATGGGGTCTTTACATTCTGTACAGTAAATGAATAGGTGAACTGTGAATGTAAACAGTAACGAAAATGTATATTTAGTTTAGGTGTAAATATTTGAATGATACGATAATAATGAATAAGAATATAAGTGGAGATAATCGAATGTACTTGAATACTCTTCATAAAATCTGTGAATCATATAGTAAATGCTTCATGTGCAAAAATGTCAATCAATCATTTTAGACTTCATTGATTCTTCGTTTACACAACAATCATTCTTTATTCTTGTTCTATTCTTTTCGATTTTCTTAACCTTCTGCCATCAGACATTTCATTTTCGATTCATAATACTTACTTATTTACGCCTGTTACTGCCCCCCCCTTCAATGGAGCATAGACCACCGACCAGCATTTTACAACCCACTCTGTCCTGGACCTTCCTTTCTACTTCTATCCAATCCCAGTTCATTTTTCTCATGTCTGTCTCCATTTCTCAATGTAATGTATTCTTTGGTCTTCCTCATCTCCTTTGACCTTGACGATTCCATATGAGAACTTGACTTGTGACACAGTTGGGTATATTCCTCAATATGTGTCCTATCCATTTGCAGCGATTCTTCCTGATTTATTCCTCCACTGGTTTGTTCTGGTTTGTTCTCTCTCACAGTGAGTTGTTGTTACTGATAGTGTCTGTCCAACGGATCCGAAGTATTTTGCGTAGACAGCTGTGAATAAACACTTGTATTTTCTGAATGATTGCTTCCGTAGTTCTCCAAGTTTCCACCACATACAGTAGAACTGTCTCAACATCTCTATTGAAATTACTGACTTTGATGTGCATTGGCAGATAGTTGTTTTTACTTCCACATGTTCTTCAGTTGTAGATATGCAACTCTTGCTTTTCTGGTCTAAGCGTTCACATCTGCATCAAATCCACCGTGCTCATAAATGGTGCTGCTCAGATATATAAAGGATTTTGCATCTTCCAAGGCTTCTCGGTCAAATGTGATTCGACTGTTGCATGTTGTGCTGTATGGAAAATTTTGCTTTTCCTTTGTGTATGTTGAGACGCACTGCTGCTGCTGTTGCTGCTGCTGAGACTGGTGCTACACTGTTCGTCTTCTCCTGCATTTGTTGTTGCGTGTGTGATAGAAGAACCAGACCATCTGTGAAGTCTAGATCGTCCAGCTGCATCCTAGATGTCCACTGTATCCCATGCCCTCCTACAGATGTTGACGTCTTCATGATCCAGTCGATTACCATGAGAAAGAGAAATGGTGAGAGTAAGCAATCTTGCATGACACTGGTCTTTACTTCGAACGAGTCTGTCAGATATTCTCTATGCACGATTTTCTAGTTTAATTCATCATAGGAATTCCGTATGATATTGACTATCTTCTCAGGCACTCCATAGTGTCGAAGAAGCCTCCATAATGTTGTCCTGTCCTTGATTGATGATACATACTATCTATATCTGTCGATATCAGCAGCATACACCACACGATGAAATATGTGTTTAATATGAAAAAAGATGTTTCGTTTATATGTGTTCTTCTTCAGGCGATGCAGAAAGTGAGTATCATAGATTATCATAGATGATAAATACCAAAGTTTTAGGTAAATCTTATCAGTTGGAAAATTGTATTCAGTTGAGAACCAATGTTTTTGTACGGTAAGATATATAAATCAACTGACATGTAAGCTTTTAGTTAAAGAATTTTTCAACAAAGGCAGAGCAATTTACTAGTTTGGAATCCCGGAATGAATATCGGCTCTGGGATGCAGTTATATACACCTGAAAAGTGTCGAATAGGAAGAAACATGTATTCTATATTCCACTGCTAGCCATATTTCACTTATTCTATATGGATTTGTGTCATCATAGCTACATCGAGTCAATTTGCATAGGATGCTTATATGACAACAAAGAATGATCGAATTTCAATTGAACTTAATCTTATATCCGTTGTACAAGAGAGTAGCTACCTGGACTCAGTAGCTGATTCGATAATATGGTAGTTTCTGAAACAAACAGCATTGGGTTCGAGTACTAGAGTGAACAATAACTTCTAGATCCAAAGATATCCAGCTGACAAGCCCCAAATAAGACGAAATTCTAAACCGAATAAGGTTTAAGTAATATATCCCATTCAGATTGATTTTATAATCAATATACACATATGAACATGGATACAGTTTTACAGCCTATACTAGAAACAACCAATTAAGGATGAAGTAAAAATTCAACTTAATAATGGTGAAAACATACTTTGAAATAACAGAACCTACGAAGATAATGATCAGCACACAAGATCATCAGAAAGGATTGGCTTTTGTGTATTATCAGAAGTGTTAAAGTATATTTTATAATTAGAATGGGGCGATTATAGTAATTTTAATAGTTGAATTCATGAGTCAAATCTGGAAACATTAAACGGCCAGTGTGGAACTTCTCATCAGTGAACAGCTATGATCCCGTACCAAAGGGACTCGAACCCAACACCTTCGTTCTCAAGTGCGAATACTTAACGTCTGGACCACTGAGCCGACATTCAACAGTGTTAGTTTCTAATCTCAATCGATCCATGATCTTTTGCAACCACTCATTGATTGTCTGAGATAGATACGTGTCCCTATCCTCAAGTTCATGGGTCGATTGAAGTTAAACATTAACACTGTTAAGTGTTAAGTGTTCGCAAATGAGACCGAAGTTGTTGAGCTTGAGTACCTTGTGTGAGCCAGTAGATGCGTACTTCTGAGGAGTCTCATACTAGAACTAACTAACATACTGTGGGATAGGCGGCATATCCTCTTCCTCTAAGGGTAGCAGTAGTAAGTAACTAAGTACTATGCGAAAAATCTTCAACAGATATAACAAATTGATTAAGTTGTATAATTACTTCTCAAGTTGTGATTACATACCACAAACGATTGGGAAAAAATAATTTCATAAGTCATCCGCATTACGATCAGTTAAGTGATTATTCACTATATCAAAATTGTCTTAATCTCACACCTATACTATTGCTAATTATTGACGATTACTTTCATTATTAAATATAAATGTTATTTATATGGTTACTGAGTTTTGAACTCATTTTTCCTATCTTCTAGATCCTCTCATCTACGCTACTGTTCACATTTTACCCCAGTACAGAATGTACCTTTAAGCTGAACTCAAATCTGACTAAGGGTGAAACTTACAAGTTGATACTTATAAAGCTGAAGTTAGACATTAACACCATTGGATGCCGGCCAGCTCAATGGTCTAGTTGGTTAATCGTCTGGCGCAAGACTGATGGGTCCTGGGTTCGAATCCCGCGATATGGGGTCGTAGATGCGCACTATCTATATTAGACTTAGTTCTCTATAAGTGACTATATGGATAAAAATATCCTCATTCAACCGTAGGTAATCATGGTAAATTATATATTTCCCTTCGACACTATTTGAAATTATTGATACCTGTATAGCCTCAAAATTGAATAAACTTGTACTATTCCACTTGGATAATTTTTGGATAATTTTTTCTGGTTAGCGTTTTATTAGCGAGTCATTTTTCTACAGGATGGAGTCGCTAACTCCATGCACAACCCTCCTCCTTTATCCGGGCTTGGGACCGGGAGTAGCCCCCGGAGGGACTCCAAGTGGAGATACAAGTGTTTATTAACATTTGTCTACGCGAAATACTTCGGATCCGTTGGCCGGACACTATTATCAACAACCTACTCTGGAAGAGAACAAACCAATTCCCAGCGAAGAAAGAAATCAGGAAGAACCTTTGGAAGTGGATAGGACACACAATGAGGTAAGCACACAGCTGTGTCACAAGACAAGCACTCATTACTTGGAATTCTCAAGGCCAAAGGAGAAGAGGAAGACCAAAGAACACATTACGCCGGGAAATGTAGATAGACATGAGAAAAATAAACAAGAATTGGGTGGGACTAGAAAAGAAGGCCCAGGACAGGGTGAGTTGGACAATGCCGGTTGGCAGTCTATGCTCCATTAGGAGTAACAGGCGTAAGTAAGTAATTCCACTTGGATAAATAAAGATTAACTGACTGAAGTTTTAGGCTTTCAACTACCGAGGCCTACAGTTCGAACCATACATTCTATCTATCTAAGTTTAAGTAACTATGTAATTTTAGTAGTACTCATGTAGTAATCTACTTTTATCAAGAGAACGCGATTAGTTTAATAGAATCAATTATTATTATAACCAATTGTAACAGTGATTGTTTTACTGTACTTGTTTGTTTGACTGTACTAAAGACATTCTTTTTTTCTCTATTGATTGTGACCTTGCACAGATTCGGTTAAGCTCAGTAACCACACTTGTAACCTGGCATGATCTCGGTATTCTTTCGATACCACGAGATTGTCAACAAATACATCTCGATGCCACCCAACACTCATTTACATAAATAGTGTATATCATAAATACTGAATAAACAATATTCATTTCATTCCGTTTATAAAGATATTTAAATTGACATTTCTACTCTTGTTTGTTCTTTCTTTTTCTACTTAGTACTATCCAAACATTTCTGTAGCCTTTTCAACCATATTGAACTATTCAGATAAACAACAACAACAAACGTGTTCATACTAGAAACCAAGAATTACACTACACAGATAAACATTTGTCCATACCAATTCAGTGAAATATATTTGATATAGTAAGCTCAATTAGGATTGACCAAACAAGGATAGTATTCCTATCGTTGAACAATATATGGAAATCAAAACAACTGTCTGTTCTTGGAGAAGGACAGAGGGGGTTGGAGATTGCTGCTAGGTGGTCTATGCTCCATTGAAGGGGGGGCGGTAACAGGCTTAAATAAGTAAGTATCATGAGTCGAAAATGAAATGTCTGATGGCAGAAGGTTAAGAAGATCGAAAAGAATAGAACAAGAATAGATAATGATTGTTGTGTAAACGAAGAATCAATGAAGTCTAAAATGATTGATTGACATTTTTGCACATGAAGCATTTACTGTATGATTCTCAGATTTGATTAAGAGATTCTGTAATTTCGTATTCGAGTATATTCGATTATCTCCACTTATATTCTTATTCATTATCATCGTATCATTAAAAATATTTACACCTAAAAGCATCCTCATTGAAATATAAGTATTTATAAATATTTGTCTACACAAGATAATCAATGTCTGTTGGCCAGACACTGTCAGTGACAACCTATTGTGGAAGAGAACAAATCAGAACGAAATAGTGGAGGAAGAAATTAGGAAAGCACTAAACTGAGTCATATGTCACACCTTCACTTGAATTCCTCGATGTCAAAGGAGAAGAGAAAGACTAAAGAACACATTGCATCAAGAAATGGAGACAGAGGTGAGAAGAATGAACAAATATTGAATATAATAAGAAAGGAAGGCGAAGGATAAAGTGGGTTGAAGAATGTTGCTTGACGGCCTATATTCCATTGCGGATGAAGAGTTAACCGGCGTAAGTAAGTAAGTTCCATTTATTGTATCTTCACTTCCCTTATCATCATAAATCATGAAATATTCCAAATATTATACACCATCAAATGATCATACCATTTAAGCATATATCTTTATACATACTAGTCTGTTGCATATTTATGAATAATAAAAAGAAAGAAGAAAAGAGTATACAAGCTAGAGGCAAATGTCTTATAAAATATGAAGACCCTTATCTTAACGATCAAAAGAACCCTGAACGAACAGAACAATCCCAATGATGTTCCCTATTGATAATTGTAATCACCTCAATGATACTGGTAGATGGTGTGTATGGTATTTTTACTGTTAGAAATAAATGATAAAAAATATGAATGAATCATGACAACAAAGAGTGTTCAATAAAGACAAATTGTAGGAACCATTTTGATTGATTGTATTAACATAATGATAAATGTTATAGTTCAGTTCATTAGACAAAGTAACCAAGACAATCATGAAAAACCTCAAAGTATTGGACAGCCGTTTCGTACTAGTTTAGAACTCCCCAACAGTGAGCATCCACAATCCTACACGAAAGATACTCGACCCCAAAATTAAGGTCTCGCATACGAGCGCTTAAACTCTGCACCACTGAACCAACATTCAACAATGTTAATGTTTAACTTCAACCAATACACGAAATCGCACAATCATCCACCATTGTATTCCGTCCACTTCATCTAAGCCTCCCATGATGGTCTAGCTTTAACTGACTCATGAACTCAACTATGAAATTACTACAATCTCCATAAAAACCCTCTTCTCATAATAATAATAATAAATGATGAGACTGTTATTTATATTTCTTTCATTTTAGATGAACAGTAAAAGGTTGGCCCCCAAATGCCCTGGGATGGCCGAGAGTGGCGAGAGTCAGCTCTCACACTCCAAATGCTCTCACATGGCAACGCGTATATAGCCTCTGCCAGAGAAGTCATACTCATTGCCTTCTCTCACCAGGGGTGTTGTTTACGAAATTGAGAGGACGAAAAGCGAATGTTGGGCGCTTTAACCGGGTTGGTGAACATGGATGGTCCACCTAGGGGAGTTGGAAAACCCTGATTCCAAACAAATGGTGCACATGGGATCCAGTATGAACCAATTGTTGGTGACCAGTTACCATGGGAATGCATGTCCATACGATGTTTCACTGTCTTGTGGATCAGACTTTCAGGTCGAAGGCTCCGTGTGTGGTTTTCTAAGAAAACCACCTGCTTCGGTTTGGGCACTCGACCAGTATCACATCCCTCACACATATCAAATGAGATTTGTGTGACGCATATGTATTTGGTGCTTCATTGTACCAATATCTATGTGTTAAAATAAATAATAAATGATAACAATTACAATGATGTATTCTGCATAGAATGATCACATTCAAGGTAACATGAGGAACCAAAGAATTCCGAACATTTATTTTGTATTAGGATAGGACTTCACAGTAATAAACATTCATAACTCTATCAAAGATCATATTCAGAACATTCAATTCTTACATCTAGCATTTAATCATAAGATAGTTGAGTTGATATTCAGTGATATATCAATTAGAAATTCAGTTGATGTCACAATTCTTGATGATGATTGTTGAAGATTCCCATATTGAAATAAAACAACAATCCAGTAAATTGTCATTTTATATAGTACTCAAACTAAAATAAACCAGAGGTGAATGACACCTTCAAATTGAACAAATCTTCAAGAATAGTCATTCAGCAATAATATCCGTTCTTCTAAAGATTGAAATTCACCAATTCTATAGCATTTTCTTTCAGCTTACTTATCAACACTTTGAGATATCAGAAGGGGTTTTGTGGAGATTTTAGAAATTTCACTGGCTGAAATTATGAGATCACCATGAACAACCTGGAAGCACTGGACAGCCATTTCGTCCTAGTATGGGACTCCACAGCAGTGCGCATCCACGATCCCGCACCCCGCGAGACTTGAACTCAGGACCTATCAGTCTCATGCCAGGTGCTTAACCAACTAGACCACTGAGCCGGCTGGGATCCAACGGTGTTAATATCTAACTTCAACTAATCCACGAAATTGAGCGACACATTCATCATTGTCATCAGTGAGTTAGTACCTCTAGCTTCAATTGACTCATGATCTCAACTGTTTAAATTACTACAATCTCCACAAAACCCCTTATGATACTGTTCACTATATAAGAGATCAGCAATATGAATTTAAGTCATTACGTTTCTCACTTTAATATATTCGATTAGATCGCCGTCTTATTATAACTTATTAATAAACCTGTAAAACGATTTGTTACTAACCATATCACAAACTATTATTGTATCTTCGAAACTTAACGTCTTTCAAAGTCGAATGATTGATTCTCATTTGATAACATCTTATTAAAGTTTAAAACAATGCATATAATTGGAGATTATCCATCTGGTCTAAACTAGAATCACATATCAATTAATTAAATCATTTACTGTTGAATGAAACTGTATACAAAGCAGAATACTCCATTAATTGGAGTGTGATGATGATGATGATGATGATGATGATGATGATGATGATGATGATGATGATGATGATGATGATGATGATGATGATGATGATGATGATGATGATGATGATGATGATGATGATGATGATGATGATGATGATGATGATGATGATGATGATGATGATGATGATGATGATGATGATGATGATGATGATGATGATGATGATGATGATGATGATGATGATGATGATGATGATGATGATGATGATGATGATGATGATGATGATGATGATGATGATGATGATGATGATGATGATGATGATGATGATGATGATGATGATGATGATGATGATGATGATGATGATGATGATGATGATGATGATGATGATGATGATGATGATGATGATGATGATGATGATGATGATGATGATGATGATGATGATGATGATGATGATGATGATGATGATGATGATGATGATGATGATGATGATGATGATGATGATGATGATGATGATGATGATGATGATGATGATGATGATGATGATGATGATGATGATGATGATGATGATGATGATGATGATGATGATGATGATGATGATGATGATGATGATGATGATGATGATGATGATGATGATGATGATGATGATGATGATGATGATGATGATGATGATGATGATGATGATGATGATGATGATGATGATGATGATGATGATGATGATGATGATGATGATGATGATGATGATGATGATGATGATGATGATGATGATGATGATGATGATGATGATGATGATGATGATGATGATGATGATGATGATGATGATGATGATGATGATGATGATGATGATGATGATGAACATCATCCTTATTATTCTATTCCATATCACATAGTTAATTCATTCTATTATTTCATTGTTTATCAAAGTTATTTCAATAATTTGTTTATAATTAATCTTTCCCAATGGAATACAAATTATTTATGTACTTATTTCATTTCGTTCATATTTTATAAGTTTTAACCTTGTTCTATATTAGACTTATTTATATTCAATTGAAGTTATTCCTTTCATGATTACAATAACAAAGATGTATGTTTTTTTTTCATATTCAAGGGAATTGACTGATTTCCATGGTACACAATTTCTATCACTTTACTCACTCACTCACTCACACTCTTCCTCTCTCTAGGGAAAACATTGATGCTCCTTTTTTTTCTGTTTAACCTTTCTTTATCTATGAAATTTTTTTTAATATTCGTTAATATACACTAAATAATTTCGCATAAAATTCTGTTGATAGATAACAACAACAAGAACAAAAACAAAGATACAAATGTCATATATTGTATATTCAACAAATTCAATATTGAATATTTCCCCCCCCCACTATACAGCACCATCATCACCTCACACCACCCCTTACCCCCCATAACATAGTTATTAACGTCATTTATAGAATACTGAATAGAATGATTATAGTTTTAGTATAAACATGAATTAATCAAATTGTTGTCGGTTTAATTTCAGTTTTTTCGGTTGTTGATGTTGTTGTTTTTTTTAGAAAATATAATACCATCCTAATAGATGACAGAATTTTTTTGTCCTCGTGGTGGTGGTGGTGTTGTTGTTTTACTATCAATACATAGACAGGTAAATAGGTAAATGTAGTCTATACAATGTATACTTATAGATGGATATATATATATATATATATATATATATATATATATATATATATATATATATATATATATATATATATATATATATATATATATATATATATATATATATATATATATATATATATATATATGCGTATACACATAATGAAAAGGGAGAATAGAGACCCTTTTCTCCTAAATTAATAATAATAATAAAAGATAGAAAGTGTAATAATTTAGTCTTAATATGAAATTTCTATTTGAAATAAAAGAGAAAACAAACAAATAAACAATGAATATGACAACTTGGTACAATCGAATCATGGAATTATAATAAACGATTAACAACAACAACAACAACAACAACAGTAACAATGATGATGATGATGATGGTGGTGATAGTGACAACCATAACAATACTAATCATCATAGACATGTATATATAGAGAGAGATAAATGGCAGACGTTTTTTGGGGGAAAAACAAAATTCCATATATCTGGGTGATGATAATTAATAATTAAATTTAATTCAATAAATCGGTATTGTCTTCTTTTTTTTTCTTTTTTGATCCTTTTCTTTCATAGTTGACATAAATAGTCTGTGGTTGTTTGTTTATTTGTTTTGTTTTTTTACTTTCATAATTAAAATTGGTCATGTGATAGATTGATTTTAAATTTGAGGGAAATAAACCACTTATTTACTTACGTTTGTTACCCCTCATCGAGGTGTATAGGCCTCCCACCATTATTCTACATGGAGCTCTGTCCCTGAGGAATCCTTTCCAGGTGTTTCCAATTTCTATTTATCCTTTTTATGTCTGCTTGTAATTTTCGGTGCAATCTGTACTTTAGTCTTCCGCTTTTCAGTTTCCTTTTGGAAGTTCAAGTTAATGCTTACTTTGTGATGCAGTTCGATGATTTATGTAATATATATTCTATTCACTGCTAGAGTCTTTTCCTAATTTACTCTTCAGATGGAAGTTCATTTGTCCTCTCATATAGTAGGCTGTTGCTGATGGTATTCAGCCAACGAACATTGAGTATTTTGTGTAGACAACTGTGTATATATACTTGTACCATTTGATCATGGCTGTAGTGGTTCTCCACGCTTTTCAGCTTTGTAAAGTAGGACTATCTTGACGTTTGTATTGAAGATTCTAACTTCTGATATTGGTTGGTAGTTGTTTTGAGTTCTATATGTTCTTTAATTGTAGGAATGCGATGATGATGCTGACCCGTTACATGAAAGGTTTAACCTCTTCCAGAGCTCCTCCATCAAGTGTGATTGCTTTGGTGTTCTTGCTTTTTTTCTTTGTGTATGTTGAGGCCCACTAATGAAGAGACTGCAGCTACACTGCTTGTGTTGAACTACATTTATTGGTATGCATAGAGGAGAAGGGCCAAGTCATCTGAAAAGTCAAAATCTTCTAATTAGTTCCGAGCTATCCATTGTATTATGTGCTTTCCCTCAGATGTAGAAGTCTTCATAATCCAGTCGACCACTAGAAGTAAGAATAAGGGGGAGAGCAAACAGTCTTGTCTGACTCCAGTCCTCACTTGGAATGTACTTGTGATAAATTAGATAATAATTATTCTTGTAGTATTTGTTTGATAGTTGACGATAATTGACGTGGAGTTCTGTTTGACTTAATGGTACCCTGATAGTTAACGGTGTTCAAAAATTATGTGTACTTTAAGTCTTGATGGAATTGACGCTGGTTGTGAAATATGGATCGGTAAAGTATGGAGCTATAGTCAACTATGTTATCAATGAGCTGTTCTATAGGATGAATAGAATATAAGTTATCCGGTAGTTAGTACTTACTATACTCGGAAATACTATCACATATTTTTTAACTTAGGAGCTACATCCTTTTAAAGATACCAGTTTCTTCGTATGATCATTCAGGGATTCATCTTATACTAAGATATTCCAACCTCTCTGATAAGTAGGTTATCGATGGAATTATAGAATAACTATTAAAAAATTGGTCTATCTATCAGTAGCCGAGTGTACTGTTCAATACGCCTTTGTGTAACGTATCACATAAATGTCGAAATGTTAATAAATAGTCACTATTTACTCACAGGCATCTTTGATGCATATAGTACGACCACTGAGTAAGTAATTCTGAGATTACTTACTTACTTACTTACTTACTTACTTACTTACTTACTTACTTACTTACTTACTTACTTACTTACTTACTTACTTACTTACTTACTTACTTACTCACTCACTCACTCACTCACTCACTCACTCACTCACTCACTCACTTACTTACTTACTTACTTACTTACTTACTTACTTACTTACGCCTGTTACTCCTAATGGAGCATAGGCCACCGACCGACAGTCTCCAACCTACTCTGTCCTGGGACTTCTTTTCTAATTCCATCCAATTCTTGTTCATTTTTCTCATGTCTATCTCCACTTCCCGGCGTAATGTGTTCTTTGGTCTTCCTCTCCTCCTTTGGCCTTGAGAATTCCATGTGAGGGCTTGTCTTGTGACGCAGTTGGGTGATTTCCTCAATGTGTGTTCTATCCACTTCCAGAGCTTCTTCTTAATTTCTTCCTCCGTTGGGATCTGGTTTGTTCTCTTCCACAGTAGGTTGTTGCTAATAATGTCCGGCCAACGGATTCGAAGTATTTTGCGTAGAGAACTGTTAATAAACACTTGTATCTTCTGGATGATTGCTTTGGCAGTTATCCAGGTTTCCGTTTCATATAGTAGAACTTTCTCGACATTTGTATTTAAAATCCTGACCTTGGTGTTGGTTGACAGTTGCTTTGAGTTCCATATATTCTTCAGTTGTAAAAATTCTGAGGTTAGTTAGTGTGAAATGTGTTAATTTATATCTTCCATTGACTATTACTCTTATGAATTGAACAACTTAATGGTCTACGTCAGACTGAAGGTCTTGGGTTCAAATCCTGCGAGCAAGCTCATGGATGCACACTGCCATTGAGGAGTTCCATAATAAGACGAAACGACCGTCTTATTATCATTCAATTCATAATCTCAATCAACATTCCTTAAAAGTACTTTTATAGTGACTATTTAATTACATATATATAATAAACTATCACAGTCTTTCTCTTCAAAAGATGTAATTAAATTGTTTCAATAAAATTCTCAAGTATCATTACATAATTTCTATATGACGTAATAGTTCATTTCAATATATTCACTTGAATAGAACTATGTTCTTGAATGATGTTGTTAATGAGAAGGCGTAACCAGTTGAATGGATGAATGAATGAATCTATCATTGTTTTGGTTATCAGTTCTCAGATTCATTTATCCTTATGATTCATGAAACATTGACAATTTGATTGATTCATGTGAATAACAATTGTTTGCACTTTATATTTATTTAATACCCCATGACCTTTGATTATTTGAAAGGGTTTTGTGGAGATTGTAGACATTTCAACAGTTCAGATCATGAGTTAATTGAAGTTAGACCATCATGGAAAAACCTGGAAGCACTAGACGGCTGTTTTGTCCTATTGTGGGACTCCTCAGCAGCAGTGAGCATCCACGATCCTGCTCGCGGAATTTGAACCTAAGATCTTCAATCTCGCGTACGAACGCTTAACTTGTTTAAATGTATGCACAAGATCATTTCGAGTTTATATATATTTTTTGTTGAAAACATGGATCTATCCAAGTTAGATAACTCTTGAAAACCTGGAACTGTTGGATGACCATTTCATCCCATCAATGCGGTTCAATCATGTAAGGCATGAGGAAGATACCTATCGAATAGAGTGGAAAATGATCGCGCAATATTATGGATTGATTGAAGTTAGACTATTACTCCATTGGATCATGGTTAAATTGTCTAAAGGTTAAACGTTCACACCTAAGGCCTCTCGTCTTGACTTAGATTTTTAGATGTGACGTTGTGGATGCACACTGTGGAGGAGTTATATACTAGGATGAGATGGCCGTCCAACTCTCGCAGGTTTTAAATGGTGATCTAACTTACAACCATTCATGATTTAAATTAAATTCAGCATTCTCCACAACCTTACTTACTTACGTCTGTTACCCCCCCCCACTATAAGAGATTTGCATGGTACTATTTCATATCGTAAAATTATATCATCTAACAACAAAAATTCAATCTTATGAATTCATTATTATTAACTGTCCGGTGTACAGAATCGTTAATGCTCATTACTGAGGAGTACAATACTAGGACGAAACAACCGTCCAGTATATCCGTGTTTTCAATAATGGCCTAACATTGATCAATTTATGATCTCAATAAAAAAATCAACAATTTCTACAATCCTATAATGATCAATGGTTTTTAGAAATCCAATTGGATTAGAAGATCTTCCTT